CTGACAGTGATTAACTGTGTTATGTCAAGTTTATTCGCTGGCAGTTTCTCACTCGATTTAATGTTCCACTTGGTCCCCAGCAGTCGACGCAGTGGAACAGTGCAACGAGTCCCTGCGTTATCACAATGTGTTTTTAAAAACCCATGACACCGGGGACCACACAGCACTACACTCACTATCTCCTGTGAAGTGATACACCTTTGTTACTGGGAATGTGTGAAATGAATAGGCCTATTACAAATGTAAATACTGTCTTAATTCCTTGACTGACCAAATTGTATTTTTTTATTTGAAGAAAACTGTGTGATTAAAATGCACACTCATTGTGCTGCCACAAATCTACTAATGGCCAGGCAGATTACATTTCTGATTTTCTTTGCCTATAGGCTGCTAACTAACTTGACTTTCTAAAGTCCCCTCATTGTATTACTTAGATACAGCCAACTCTAGATGTTAAAATCAGTCCGGCGTTTCCTTATCATCGTTTATATTTCTCACTTTGGCTATGACCTCATGATATTTTCATGTTTCTATCTAACAAATTAGTTCTACCAAAGTATTTGTCTCTCCAAATGTACTGAGATTAACCACAATGACATAACCGACTCTTAAAGTAAACACATTTGTGGTGACTGGGGTGGAGTCATCGGTCTTGGCGAGTAATGATCCATTCTGCTATCTCTATATGGTAGGAGGCCTAAACAGTTTATTTCATGTTTGCGGTCACTTCCTGGGGGAAGTTAACCTGGCTTACAGTTTGTCAGGAATGGAGGGAAACCAGATCAGCGGAGGAAGATCATTTCAACCTGATTAGTGGAAATGGCTACATTAACACGGGTAAAAAAATAAGAAACACCATAACTGTAGGCTTTTTGTGCACTCTGTGTCCGCAGACAGATGACACATGTAGCTAGAATCTGTTTTGGAGAGATTGTACTTTTGGTTTGTTGCAAATTAAACAGTATTTGCGGTTGTCATTGGCAGTCCTCTCAAGAATGAAAATATGTATTATTTCTGGCTATTTGAATTCTAACAAAAATATATATTCATTTAAGCCTTAACATATCAGTCATTGCATTCCTATATTATATGCAGTATTGTTTTATTGAATTTTTATTAATTTACTGAACATTATAAGCCTTCTGTCTTGGCATGTATGAAAATGTAAGTAATTGTCAAAAAAATGTATCCAAATGTATACATAGCTCGTGTTTTATTTTCATTAGGAAGGCACTTTGAGTCTCTTGGTCAGTATTGTTTCTCTGGTATTCCTGTATGAGGGAACATAATAACTTAGGCTAACTCTCCCGGCGACTGAAAGAGCAAGAGCAAAATAACACATGCCTACTCTCCCATGTCTTAAGATTGGCTCACAAATTCTATACGTTCTATAAGTTAGTCTTTAGTAATTATGGAGCAGGTTTTTCGAAAATAAACATTTTGTCTATTGCTTTGTGTAATGAATTGGGTTTTGTTAGGCCGTTTTAGCTGACAGAATTGGGCCTGGTCCTTACACACAATGTCTTACCAAATAGTCAGTATTTTTTAGTGTTCTTGCAACTCATCAAACCATGTGTTTCTAGTATTTCTAGGGATATACTGTATGTTCATTATTTGCACACGTCTTGAAAAAAATAAATCCATAATAGGTCCAAGAGTTTTAAAACTGTCACCTGTATGACTATGCAACGATAGAAGACAAAAATGATTGTTTGTCTTTGTATGCCCCGTCAGTCATGACAGCACAGAGAAACCTTCGTTAATTGCTTTATCTTCAGTTCTCCCCATTGTCAGGTTTACTTAGTGTCCTGCCACTCCCCGGCCCCAGTGTGTTAATGTTGGCTAGTCTGACTCTGACAGATGATTGATAACCACTCCCAAGTGTGCAGGATCCAAAGGATTAGCACAGTTTACTTCTGGTAGCATGCCTTCGCTCTAAATAAAGGAAATTAATAATGTGCTGACACCTACAAGACAGCCATGTGTATGCGTGCGGAGAGACGCGACAACCTGTGTGTGTGTCCGTCTAGGGGGACTAGAAAGGTTTGTAAGTTCCAGACTCCTATGTCATGACATATACGGTAACTTTTTCCCAGTTATGTGGTGCCAACATTCTTAGAATGATTCACAAAAAAATCACAAAACACTGTCCCAAAATGTGCCTTTCTCTTGGAAATGGCTATGGATGGTGACTGGCCTTTTATATTTTGGTCACTATGACTTAATATATGATTAATAATACTGGAGGGCACTGTTTACATTGCTCTTCAGAACACACACATGCACGTACACACACTCTCTCGCTCACACACACGCACGCACACACACACACACCCCTAAATCAGGGGTCATGAGAACAGGAGAAAACACTGACAGCTTGAATTAAGTTCATACAAAGAGCAAAACTCGAGGGGGACGAGAGGAATTCAACACCGTACAGTAGCCTACTACCTCCTCCGGCTCCCATGGACACGTATGCACCAGATACCGGGCGTGGCCGCCTTGTCACACAAAGCCAGTAATAAACTGGGAAGCTATTGCTTTCAGCAGCAAGACCCCCAGATGACCTTCCCTTGTGACCCTGGCGTGAACCCGTATTGAGGAAGGGGAGAAGTGAAACGCCTGGTATCACCGGAGTTGAATGCACGGAGACAGGCACGATGGCTAGAAAGGAAGGCACTATCATTGTACCCATTCCGTAAATGAGCGTGGTTTTGACAGACCTAGGTTTTAGGCCCATGTGTGCAACTTAAAGGCCTGATTTATAATTAAATATGTAATTACATGATATGTCATGGCTTTCTCTCAGCAGACATCCATACTTCGGGGTAGAGCTGGGCTCTTTTGACTTACTTGGGTCATGTAGAGCTAAATGTGCATGGCTTCAGGGTGCAGCTGTACTAGGTCTACGTTATGGAATGTGTGACACTGAGCTGTAATCGCACCTGGAAATGGAGGCCTTGGGTCTCTGAATTAGGGTTGCAAAGCTACTGGTAATTTACCAAAGTTACTGGAAACTTTTTGGTAATTAACAGAATCTATGGCAATCTATCGTAACTTTGGTAATTTATACTTGAATAACATTTTTTAAATGTATTTTATATATATATATATATATATATATATGAGAGAGAGATAGATAGATGTGTATATGTGTGTTTATATATATATATGTTTTTGTTTTGTATTTATATCTGTGTCCATATTGTCCATGAGTTTCTAGTAGATAGACCATATAGTTCAAGAGAAAATAGCCTAATTAATGAAAAAAGTATAATCAACAATGGCATTATTTTCAATGCTCTGCAACTCTTCCAACTATTTAGTCCACTATTTAATCCATCTAATATGGATTAAATAAAACATTTTCCTCATCAATCTACACACAATACCCCATAATGACAAAGGGAAAACAGGTTTTTCGCTTTGTCATGAGGTCGAGCCATGAGGTCGAAGGAATTGTCCGTAGAGCTCCGAGACAGAATTGTGTCTAGTCACAGATCTGGGGAAGGGTACCAAAACATTTCTGCAGCATTGCAGGTCCCCAAGAACACACTGGCCTCCAACATTCTTAAATGGGCAATCGGGGTAGAAGGGCCTTGGTCAGGGAGGTGACCAAGAACCCGATGGTCACGCTGACAGAGCTCCAGAGTTCCTCTGTGGAGATGAGAAAACCTTCCAGAAGGACAACCATTTCTGCAGCACTCCACCAATCAGGCCTTTATGGTAGATTGGCCAGACATAAGCCACTCCTCAGTAAAAGGCATATGACAGCACGCTTCGAGTTTGCCAAAAGGCACCTAAAGGACTCTCAGACCATGAGAAATAAGATTCTCTGGTCTGATGAAATCAAGATTGAAATCTTTTGCCTGAATGCCAAGAGTCACGTCTGGAGGAAACCTGGCACCATCCCTATGGTGAAGCATGGTGGTGGAAGCGTCATGCTGACTAGGAGACTAATCAGGATCGAGGGAAAGATGAATGGAGCAAAGTACAAAGAGATCCTTGATGAAAACCTGCTACAGAGTGCTCAGGACCTCAGACTGGGGCAAAGGTTTACCTTCCAACAGGACAACGACCCTAAGCACACAGCCAAGACAACGCAGGAGTGGCTTCGGGACAAGTCTCTCTGAATGTCCTTGATTGGCCCAGCCAGAGCCCAGACTTGAGCCCGATCGAACATCTCGAGAGACCTGAAAATAGCTGTGCAGCAATGCTCCCCATCCAACCTGACAGAGCTTGAGAGGATCTGCAGAGAAGAATAGGAGAAACTCCCAAAATACAGTTGTGCCAAGCTTGTAGCGTCATACCCAAGAAGACTCGAGGCTGTAATCGCTGCCAAAGGTGCTTCAACAAAGTACTGAGTAAAGGGTCTGAGTACTTATGTAAATGTGTTATTTCTATTATTTATTTATTTATTTATTTTATATATTAATGTGCTGCATTTTCTAAAAACCAGTTTTTGCTTTGTCATTATGGGTATTGTGTGTAGATTGATGAGGGGGAAAAAGCAATTTAATAAATTTTAGAATAAGGCTGTAATGTAACAAAATGTGGAAAAAGTGAAGGGGTCTGAAAACTTTCAGAATGCACTGTATGTGATAAGGCCACACAGAGGGCCAGAGGTAATTACAGACACCTGTGACAATATAAAGTACCCAAATGGGCCACTAGATGTCTTGTGATAGAAACATACCAAAATTCTGGTAGTTTACTGGTAAACTTAGAATGTTTCCAGTAATATACCCTCCCTTTGCATCCCTAATTTCCTCCCCCGACAGGACATCAAAAGGAGAGAAATTTATTTAGAAGAAGGTGCCTTAACTTAACGTGACACACAACAATTCAATTATGTTGCCAATTATCTATATCAGGCAGACCCTGAGTGTATCTTGAGCTAGTGTAAACCTTTATCTTTTCTGTGCAAGTCCAGATATGAGGTTCGCCCTGTCTGTGTAACCTTGTGTAAAGTCAATCATGCTATCTGTGAATTTGCTGACATGTTACGCTGCATTTTCTCCACAGTCGACCTGGAGCATATGAGGACAGTGAAGGCTGACAAACACCAGCGCTTCTGCCAAGAGAACAGCCTCATCAGTCAGTTCGTATCAGCCAAGTCTGGAGACTCAGTGAGTCAGTTTACCCAATAAATCACATCAAAAGTGACGCACATGCACCAAGAAAATGACATGTAAAACCTACCACTGAAATACTCTTGTTTGCTGTGAAGAAGATGAGACTAAACAAAATTGATGCGGTGCAATATTTGTTTATTTGTGCACATTGAAAGCATATTCTATATTCCTGCTCATGTCTCCTCTCTTTCCCTTTCCCGCCCTGCCTTCCCTTCAGGTGTTCCTGGCATTCCAGAGAGTGGCTGCAGAGATTCTGGGGGTGAAGCTCAACAAAGCAGAGATGGAGCAGTCCCAGGTGAGCCTTCATTAGGCCTTTTCTCTCACGTTTCCCATAGAGAATTATGTAGCAGCCCCTGGAGTCATGTTGCCATTTTTTAGACGGTTTCTTATAACCACACGCATGTACACGAGGTCAAACAAAGTGTGTCAGGGCACGAGTTCACCGCACACTGTAGAGGATGCTTGTTACTCCTGTGACGCTGTACCTGTGACTGACACTGTCCATCTGTAAATTCAGCCACGTTGATGACGCTAGAGCCCAATGGTGCGTGAAACGAGAGGTCAAGAGGTTGGCGGTGTAGGGTAGGAAGGTTTGGCTGCATCTTCGGATTTATTGCGTTTATCTCCCCCTGATGTGGGCTGAACAGGTCCTCCGAGCTCGGCCTCTTCGAACCAGCCAGACAAGGTGGCCCCGTCACTGGTGGCAGCAGTGGGATTACGCAGGGCATCTCCCCAAGAGGCATTAATCCTGGCTGTGATATGACTGGCTGGTGCCGCGCTGGCTAGAGAGCGGCTGATAAGTCTGGGGCTATGGGGAGGTCAGGACCCCCAGAGAAATGAGAGGACCAAGGGAGCGAAGGCTAGGAGATGACTCTCAAAAACACTTCCACCCCTACCCTGCCCCTTCTGCTGTCAACAGACAGAGGCTAATGAAGGTGTTCATCTCCGCTCCCCTCCGTCACATCCCATGATAGCTTCCTCAATAAACCCAAGTGCTTTAATCCAAGCTAAACAAGCCGGATGAGTGGTCTGATCTGTCAGTCAAGATGCCTGTCACAGAAACGTAATCTATGATGTCCATGTGTCACTCCAGGGATGCAAGTTCTCTGAAGATATCTTTCTAAATAAAATAAGTAGAGTAAAGACTATCCCACTTCAATGGTGTATCTTCATCTTGGATAGAGAATGGGTTAGGTTTGGGGATAAGACTTTGTGGTTACAGTAGTTGAAGGCCTCAACATTCACTGGAGAAAGAAAAAATAAGTAGAAAGAAATTGAGGAAAATAGAAATGTTTTTGAATTGTCTGTTTTTCTACCTTGTGCAGTGCTAACAATGGTTGGAATTATGTTCTGAGTTGTAGGCATTTGGGGATGGAGGTCAGGGGGCAGCTCTAGGGTCTCGTTGGGGGGCCAGAAAAGCCTCATTATCAGCTGTCGGGTTTAGAGAGCTGTGCATGGGGGTCAGAGCCCCTGGCAAGATCTTATTGGCTTGGGAGCCCACTCCATCATTGTCCCTTGTCTGGAAGAACAGATACTGGGGCCGCTGATCACTCATGGGGTCTGACAAAAGGCATCGGCAGCTCATTAATCAACCAACCAGGGCCTGGGTTCAACCACGATGTCTGGTCTTTGCTGGCTCCCCAATCCAGGTCTGAGGTCTAATTGTAAGTTCAGAACCTGTCCTGTTACTGGTACTCAATATCCAGGGCCCGTATTCATAAAGTGTCTCAGGAGTGCTGATCTAGAATCGGTTTTGCCTTTTAGATCATAATGAATTAGATTACATGGACAGAGAGGGGAACTGATTCTAGATCAGCACTCCTATTCTGAGATGTTTTATGAATATTAGCCCAGATGAGCTCAGTTGGATTTCTGACAGGGTTGGCTGTAAGATCACTTTCACTCAGAGCTACATCACCAAGTCAAGAATAGGTAAAGGTGATAGCTATACCTTTCCTCATTGAAGATGTAACGATTGATTTAAAACTTGGCATGGTAAAATGTTAGTAGAAGAGGAGCCGAGGATGCACACCCAAATAAAAGTGCAGACTAACGGCTTAAACTTTAAGAAAATAAAAAAAGTCTCACTCGCTACAATACTCCCAGATCTTTATTGAATGGATAAACCAATATTTGGCACACACAATTCATATCTGTCTGGGAGTATTATAATATCTGAGTGTTCTTCATTTTGTACATGACGAAATGTTTCACAAATGTATTTTGGTCATGGACATTTTCCTACGTAAACCCCGGAGCTTCTCATTTGTTTATTCTCCTGTTCAAATCCATTTCTCACGTTTCTTTCTCATTTTTCTCACTGTCACCTCCACGACCCTGTCTTCACCTCTCCCCATCCTCCATTCCAACCAACTGTACCTCCCGTCTGCATCTTTGTTTTCTTTCCTGTCCTCTCTCTCCTTTCCATCCTCACCTCCTCTACCCACGCGTCTTCCTTTTTATCCATTTACCCTGATTTCCCTCTCCATGTCTCTCTCTCCTGCCTGGTTTTGTCTCCTTCCATCTCTCCATTGGTGTGTGCTGCTCAGAGGATCGTGAAAGCTGAGCTGGTGGACTACCCTCAGGACGAAGTCCCCATTAGACAAGAGACCAATCAGAGCAAAATCTGTTCGGTTCAGTAGTTGGAAGTATGTCTATACACAGTCACACATAGATATATTTATCTCCTGAAATATACTGTATCTATTAGTGCCTGGTATAAAACCACAAGAGCACCATACGAAGTGGTAGTGGTAGAGGTTGTTGTTGTATTTTAATTGTGGGAATTAAAGTGGAACTGACAGCGTTTTAGCAAAATCAAATCGTATTAGAATCTGTTCATATACACCCACAGGTGTATAGAGAAGCGAGCACTTAGATATGGTCATCTTCACAATTTCGTACTTTCATAGAATGTTTGAGAATACTGTAGCTCTGATTGGCTATGGCGCACCAGTCTGTGTAGAGTCCGGTCCTGGACAAGAATGACATGTTTTATTGCAGTGTCTATCCATTGTACAAACGCACGGCCGCTTTCCAACTCCATATTGCTATAGAATTTTCATAAATGCCTTTAAGGCATTTTAGCTTGCTAAATAATTAGCTACATAATTAGATAAGCTAGCCTATTAGCCACGTTATGACTGACTTGTGGTCATTGCCATTGCTAGTTTGATTGTATTGACATTCCCAGCCTTAGTTAAATTCGTCCGTTTATGTCTAAAACATTGAGTCATTGAAACTGAAACAGTGCATCCCGAAGGGCTGGAGGCAGCAAACAATGTACCAGACCAGCTGTGATTTACAACCTGATAGCAATATTTGTTGGACTACCAAGAAAAGTGTTGGTGAATTAGCTATATTAATCATGCGTTGAACTGCATCCATGTATTCTGCCAACAATGCCTTACTCTACATCATGACATATAACCTATTTTTAAAACCTCTTATAAAGTTGGTTTTGTAGCATAAACTGGGATTTTTTATATTTTTGACTGATATTATGATTGTCCGTTTCATATCTGCAAAGTAGTTAATGCTGTCAGTTCCACTTTAAGTTAGTTATTAGTTAGTTTGTAATTAATGAAAGAAAGTTTGATTTAGGCTAGTCCTACAGTAGTTTGGTACTAAAAAGATATTATCATTGAGAAGAAAAACATGAGAAGATGTTGCCAGGAATTTTCGACTATTTTAGTGGGCTGCATTAGTATGATCCAGAGAAGTGGGCTTGGCCCCCGGACAGAGTTTGTGTCAGACTGACCTTTGTTTGACCTGTTTCTACACTTGTGATTGGCATTGAGCTGGCTGCATCTGCAAAAAGACTGTAGAGCAGATCTTTACCATAGAGCAGATTTTCCATCTTTATTTTTACCATAACATTCATCCATTAACTTGTATACTTCAGTTTACATGTTTTTCCTGAATGTGACAAATTAAATGTATTTGAATTATACAAGTAAGGTCTGGGGCCTGGGAAGGAAGACCTGGGACCTGTTTTATGTGATCCATATAGATTTCTGGCCTATGCAGGAACAAATGGCAAATATTTAGTAGTATCAATTAGGTAAATTAATCTCAAATTGTATAATTGGTGTTTAAAATCACTCCTCCATTTCCTGGTTGCTAAAACTCTAATAGTTCGCCTAATTTCAGTTTATGTGACAAAATAAGCTAGTATAGTGTAGAGAATCATTGTACCATCTGAACCGCTGTGAAATATATTTTCCATAACCAGAAATATTGTTGTTTCAGCTATTTCAAGCTGTTGTACAAAACCGAAAGTAAAAGACACGAAAACAACATTTTAAAAACGGGAAGCACAGAAATAGCGCACATAGAACTGATATACCGCTTCTTAGACTTGCTTTCAAGTAGAATGATAGATCTATAACTCACATTTCCTATGTGAATTTGGTCAGGTCGCCCAAAAAGTTACATATTGCCACTTTAAAATCAGATGGATTTTCTAGTATGGTGGCAACTTTCTCATATTTTGCCTCTGTTTATGTCTTTCTTTGTCTATGTGTCTCCATAGCGTGTGGTGAAGGCAGACATCGTGAACTACAGTCAAGAACCTGTGGCGAGGACAGTCAACCCCCCGCGCAGCTCCATGTGTGCGGTGCAGTGACCCCCTCTCTCCCCCACCTGCCCTCTTGCCCCTCCACAAACGGACTAAAGCAGTGAGGGCTTCTGACCAGCAGGCTGCCCCCAACACACTGACCCATAGCCAGAGCAGGGGAATTGAGCCAGCTTGGTTTATTCTGCTGCACACGCACACACACACACTCCTCCCTTCTCTCTCTCAACACACAAGTCTTTAGAAAGGCTTTATCAGTATTTCCTTTTTTTATTTTTTTCTGTGTCATCGGACCAAGTACTGCATATTTTAAGATTTGAATGTGAGGATCTCTCCCTCTGTATGTACAGTTATTTAAAGGGACCCCACAGTATATTCCTGGCTTCAATACATTTAATATATTTTCATGAATGATTTCTTGAGTAGTAATCAGCTTTGGTTGCAGCATACATCTGTTTAAACATGAAGATATGCTGAAAGCAAATGGGACCTCCACTTTTTTTAGCAGTTTAAACACATTTGTCAATATTTCTTTAGTTTTGGGCAACTGTTACTCTTTTGTCCTTGTTTTTTTTCTACTGTTTTCATTATTCAATTATTCTTCAAAGGACCATTTGATTGTATATATACTCAATAAAAATATAAACGCAACATGTAAAGTGTTGGTCCAATGTTTGATGAGCTGAAATAAAAGATCCCCAGAAATGTTCCATACGCACAAATAACGTATTTCTCTAAAATGTTGTGCAACTCCACATCTGGCTTCTTCACCTGTGGGATCGTCTGAGACCAGCCACCCGGACAGCTGATTAAAGTATTTCTGTCTGTAATAAAGCCCATTTGTGGGGAAAACTGGCTGGGCCTGGCTCCCCAGTGGCTGCGCCCCTCCCCAGTTATGTGAAGTCCGTAGATTAGGGCCTAATGAATTTATTTCAATTGATTGATTTCCATAAATGAACTAACTCAGTAAAATCTTTGAAATTGTTGCATGTTGCGTATAATATTTTTGTTCAGTATATATGTTTACCTTGACAATGGACATTTAAGTATGTATTGGTGCAGCTTAAATGTATGACAATTAATATCTGTATGTTTGTAGCCTTTTTCAACTGTCCGTTGTAGAACAGAAAAGTCTGCAATGAAGAACTGCTTTGACACAAGGTGCTTCGTAGGATCATCGTTTTGACCAAACAAGCTGAGTTATAGGCATGTGTTGTTTTGTACAGATACTCATCCCTCAAGTCGGTTTATCTTGCAGTTTGTATTTGTCCCAAATATTTTTTTGACTAATATGGTGTACTTGCACACGGAGGATGTCAACATTGTACCAGAAGCTTGTACAACAGAAAATACATAACAAAACATGACGACATGGTTGGATTTTACTCTGTAAACCATGGTGTTCGCCTTGTATAAATTGTCTTTATAAATGATACAGGTAAAAGTCAGTAAATTAGAATATTTTGAAAAACTTGATTTATTTCAGTAATTGCATTCAAAAGGTGTAACTTGTACATTATATTTATTCATTGCACACAGACTGATGCATTCAAATGTTTATTTCATTTAATTTTGATGATTTGAAGTGGCAACAAATGAAAATCCAAAATTCCGTGTGTCACAAAATTAGAATATTACTTAAGGCTAATACAAAAAAGGGATTTTTTAGAAATGTTGGCCAACTGAAAAGTATGAAAATGAAAAATATGAGCATGTACAATACTCAATACTTGGTTGGAGCTCCTTTTGCCTCAATTACTGCATTAATGCGGCGTGGCATGGAGTCGATGAGTTTCTGGCACTGCTCAGGTGTTATGAGAGCCCAGGTTGCTCTGATAGTGGCCTTCAACTCTTCTGCGTTGTTGGGTCTGGCATTCTGCATCTTCCTTTTCACAATACCCCACAGATTTTCTATGGGGCTAAGGTCAGGGGAGTTGGCTGGCCAATTTAGAACAGAAATACCATGGTCCGTAAACCAGGCACGGGTAGATTTTGCGCTGTGTGCAGGCGCCAAGTCCTGTTGGAACCTGAAATCTCCATCTCCATAGAGCAGGTCAGCAGCAGGAAGCATGAAGTGCTCTAAAACTTGCTGGTAGACGGCTGCGTTGACCCTTGATCTCAGGAAACAGAGTGGACCGACACCAGCAGATGACATGGCACCCCAAACCATCACTGATGGTGGAAACTTTACACTAGACTTCAGGCAACGTGGATCCTGTGCCTCTCCTGTCTTCCTCCAGACTCTGGGACCTCGATTTCCAAAGGAAATGCAAAATTTGCTTTCGTCAGAAAACATGACTTTAGACCACTCAGCAGCAGTCCAGCTCTTTTTTCCTTAGCCCAGGTGAGACGCTTTTCGCGCTGTTTCTTGGTCAACAGTGGCTTGACACGAGGTATGCGGCAGTTGAAACCCATGTCTTTCAAGCGTCTCTTGGTGGTGGATCTTGAAGCCCTGACTCCAGCAGCTGTCCACTCCTTGTGAATCTCCCCCACATTTTTGAATGGGTTTTTTTTCACAATCTTGACTAGGGCGCGGTGATCCCTATCGCTTGTACACTTTTTCTGACCACAGTTTTTCCTTCCCTTTGCCTTTCTATTAATGTGTTTGGACACAGAGCTCTGAGAACAGCCAGCCTCTTCTGCAATAACCTTTTGTGTCTTTCCCTCCTTGTGCAATGTGTCGATGGTCGCCTTTTGGACAGCTGTCAAATCTGAAGTCTTCCCCATGTTTGTGTAGGCTTCAGAACTGGACTGAGAGACCATTTAAAGCCCTTTGCAGGTGTTTTGAGTTAATCAGCTGATTATTTTGTGGCACCAGGTGTCTTCAAAATGTAACCCTTACACAATATTCTAATTTTGTGACACACGGAATTTTGGATTTTCATTTGTTGCCACTTCAAATCATCAAAATTAAATGAAATAAACATTTGAATGCATCAGTCTGTGTGCAATGAATAAATATAATGTACAAGTTACACCTTTTGAATGCAATTACTGAAATAAATCAAGTTTTTCAAAATATTCTAATTTACTGACTTTTACCTGTATATGCATTGCTTTGTGGAA